TGATGATAAGAACACCATTTTTGGTGTTAATTCTGGAAGGTGCTGTAGGCCTTCACAGAACTGGTCAACTTCAGCCTCTTCAGCACCAGTGGCTGGGGCACAGACTTGGACTCCTGTGATGCTGAATGGTTTGCCTTGGATTCGAACCGAGATCATTCTGTCGTTTTGGAGATTGGATCCCAGTACCGCTTTTGTACTGCTCATGGGGTTTTCATGGCAAGGGGACTGGAGTGGGCTGCCATTTCCTTCTCTAGGGGGTCACCTTTGGCCCAGCTCTCTGCTACGGCCTGTCCATCTTGGGTGCCCCTGCATGAATTAGCTCATAGCTTCATTGTGCTACACAAGCCCCTTTGCCACAGCAAAGCAGTGATCCATGAAGGGGATGATGGGATCAGGAACTGCAATTCCCAGGATGGGCCACCGGAGGGCAGCTTCAACAGGGAAGGTTTGGCCCTATGGTGGGGTGTTGCCCCCACATGGCATAGCGCATCGCTGCTTTGAGCTACACAAGCCCCTTCACCACGGCAAGGCAGTGATCCATGGAGGGTCCGTTCCACTAGGCCTGCTAGAAACAGCAGCCTCAGCTCCTCCTCGTGCCTCAGCAAAGGGTGTTGGAGTTGACCTGGCACTGAAAGGCTAGTGAAACTGCCAGGTGGGCCTTGCTGGGGAGATCGTTCCATACGTTGGGGGCTGCCACAAAGGAGGCCCTGCTTGTTGCTCGCAATGGAGCCTTCCCTTGGAGGAACACCCTGAAGGTTGCGCATCGCATCCCACTAGCTGGCTGTCGCTTCGGGTCATGTCGAGGGAGGTTCACCCTCAGCTTGGGTAGTGTGGACGGTCTAGTTAGGCGTCTCTTCCGTGTTCCAGGTCGCCTCCCGCAGCTGCGCCTTGCTGAGCCCGGGGAATTCACCAAACGGGCCTTCCAGAATGGCAAGCTGGACTTGACCGCGGCCGAGGGCCTCGGGGACCTGATCCACGCCGAGACGGAGGGGCAGCGCAGGCAGGCCCTGCGCCAGATGGCTGGAGACTTGGGGAAGCTCTACCAGGGCTGGAGTGACGTCCTCACGAAGGCAAGGAGGGTGCTGGAGCAGTTCCGGGGCTGGAGGGGCTCGCCAGCGAGGGCAGGACCCACGCTTCACGGTGCCTGTTGCGTTCTAGGGGGTGTCTTCGTGGTGGCAACCCTGCGAGTAACCCGCCTGAGCCTAGCTGGGCTGCTCAGGAAACCCGCGTAGGGTTGCATGGGCGAAGGGTTGCAGCTGGATAAAACTGCTCCAGCCTGAATTATACAATCCAGCACCCTTTCCCAGTCCCGGAAGCCATCAGTCTCTTTTCCCCACTTGGTTTAACTTTTTGGTGTGTCTGTTCCAGGCCTTCTGCAGCTGGGTCTCTCAGGAAGGTGTTTTGCTTTCCAGCTGCTCAAGTTAAGGAGGCCCTGCTGCTTAGAAATCCCTGCAGGGTTGGTCCCACCCCCGACCTGCAAGTCTATTTTTCTAGGGTTTCATTCTTCTCTGCTCCAACACATAAGATTTGACTCCATTCACGTGTAAATAAGTCATTCTGTGCTCAAATATTCAGTGCGTATTTAACTACCCCTTTGTCGGAGCCTGCCAAGCTGAGCTGCTGACTCTTCCTCCCACAGGCCTTGGCCCATCTTGAAGCTTACATCGACTTCAGTGAAGATGACAACATTGAGGAGGGGGTCCTCTTTCAAGGTCAGCCCCCCCCCTCGCTCTGGCCCACCCCTCCAGGCTCTGCTCTCCTCTGCCCAGCTCAGAGTCTGCCAGCTTCCCCTGGAGCCTGGCGGCAAAAATATTATTTGTTTATTTATTTAAAATTTCTGTATGCTGTCACCACATGCCTTGGCATCTTGGGATGGCTCACCATGCATACAATTAAAAACAATAAAATGATCTTTATAAATAACAAATTCCATAAAAGATTGCATAAGGACGAAAAACCGAAAACAAAAAGAGCGATTGTTCAATGATAAAATATTAGTTTTTAAAACAGCTTTTAAATAAAATGGTTTTAACCCGGCGCTGAAAAGAATATAAACTTGGCGCCAGGCACACCTCTCCGGGGAGCGCATTCCATCACCTGGGTGCCACCGCAGAGAAGGCCTTGCTCCAGGTAGGTGTTCTTTTTATCTCTCTTAAAGATGGGTCCTGGAGCAGAGCCTCTTCCACAGATCTTAGGGAGATAAGATATCTATATTGCCTTAAGAAAAAAGAGAACAGCAAACATGCAAGTCACTAGTCCTCATTGCTATGGAACAACAAGGTTGGCTCGCAAGTGGGAAAGGGGAGAAAAGTGGGTGGTTTTGGGGGAAGGCACCTCTCTCTCCCTTTTGGTTTTTCATCTCCCTAGTGGAAGACGCCGTTGAGTCCCTGGAGAAGGAGCTGCGGGGACACTTGCAGGACAGCCGCCGTGGGGAGAGGCTGCGGGACGGGGTCCATGTGGTGATCGCTGGACCCACCAACGCCGGAAAGAGCAGCCTCCTCAACCACCTGTGTGAGTGGGGGATGGGAACAGGGTGGTCCAAAGCGGCAGCCCACCCGGCTGGAGCCCGGCTCTCATGTGAGGTGGCAGGAACCCAGTCTAGAGTCCAGACAGTTCTGCTGCCCTGGAGCCTCCTAGATTTCCTGGCTGTGGGCCTAGCATGAGTCTCTCCCCCTGCCCCCACCTGCTGGATCTTTCTGCCTGAGGTTTTCCCCGGAAATTAAGTACCCTTCCCCCCCCTTTTGCAAGCCAAATTTAAAGATGACTTTTACACACTGAAGTAAGACGTTTCATTTTAACTTTGAAAAGACCAGAGAAATGTGTTGACCTTCTGCAGGTTGGACGAGTTCATTTTGGAGGTTACAAAGGTTTATGTGCTCGACTCAATTCAGTCCTTCATCCAGCGAGGGGGGGTGCTTGGAGCTGTAGTCAGTTCGGCAAATGATCCCCGTGGCCTTGAGCAGGCCTGATTATTTTAGAAACAGAGAAAAACAGTAAGTCGGAAGGGGTCTCCCAGGCCATCTAGTCTGACCCCCAGCTGCAGCCGGCTCCACTCACGACATGCCCACCATGTGCACGTCCAGCCTATCCTTGAACACCCACACCAATGGGGCCTCAACCACCTCCCAGGGAAGCCCATTCCACACCCTCGGGGTCCTGACAGTCAGGAAGTGCTTCCTGGCATCCAGATGGAACCTGGGTTCCCTGAGCTTGGCTCCGTTGGAGCGTATCCTGCCCTCCTCTGCAGGGGAAAAAATGGTCATTATCCACCCCTGCATGGCAACCCCTCATGTACCTGACTGAGGGTACCTGTTCTCAAGGCTGAGAACACCCTGTGCCCTCAGTCTCGCCTCATACGGCTTCCCCTGCAATCTGGCCACCATCCTCATGGCCCTACACTGCACTGACTCCAACCTTGCAATGTTGTTGTTAAGTCCCAAAGTTGTGTCTGACCCATCATGACCCCACGGACAACCTTCCTCCAGGCTCCCCCGCCCTCCACCACCCCCTGGAGTCTACCTGAGCTCACACCCACCGCCCCAGTGACCCCACCCAGCCACCTAATCCTCTGCCGCCCTCTCCTTCTTTTGCCCTCAATCCTTCCCAGCATCAGGCTCTTCTCCAGGGAGTCCTTCCTTCTCATTAGGTGGCCAAAGGATTTGAGTTTCATCTTCAGGATCTGGCCTTCAAAAGAGCAGTCGGGGTTGTTCTCCTCTAGGACTGACCGGTTTGATCGCCTTGCGGTCCAAGGGACTCGCAGAGTCTCCCCCAGCACCACAATCCAAAGGCCTCAGTTCTTCGGCACTCAGTCTTCCTTCTGGTCCAGCTTTCACAGCCATACATTGCAACTGGAAAATGTCCACAGGCTGGACATTACAACTGCAGCTTTGACTATATGAACTTTTGTCGGCAGGCTGATAGGACACGGTATAATCAATTCAAGCTATGACAATCCAGGTTCAGGCTGGACATCAGGAGAAGCTTCCTCGCTGTCAGAGCAATACGGCAGTGGGACCAGCTGCTTAGGGAGGCAGTGGGCCCTCCCACACTACAGGCATTCAGAAAGAAACTTGACGACCATCAGCCACAGGGTGGACCCAAAGGCCTTCAGGCTCCTTCCATCTCTACTGTTCCATGGTTCTATGTCTCCGCTTTTTAATCTGCTGTCTAGATTTGCCATAGCTTTCCTCCCCAGGAGCAAGTGTCTTTTAATTTCTTGGCTGAAGTCAGTATCTGTGGTGATCTTGGAGTCCAGGAAAATAAACTCTGTCCTTACCCCCATTTCTTCTTCTATTTGCCAGGAAGTGAGAGGACCGGATGCCATGATCTTAGTTTTCTTAATGTTGAGCTTCAAGCCAATTTTTGCGCTCTCCTCTTTCAACTGCATCAAGAGGCTCTTTAGTTCCTCTTCACTTTCTGCCATGAGAGTGGTTTCATCTGTATATCTGAGGTTGTTGATATTTCTCCCAGGAATCTTAATTCCAACTTGTGATTCATTTAACCTGGCCTTCCTTTGGCATGATGTACTCGGCATAAGAAGTTAAATAGACAGGGGGACAATCACTGTTTCTTCTTGACCCACATAGAATTTTCTCAAGAGATCATTGAGATGGTCTGATACTCCCATCTCTTTAAGAACTTGCCACAATTTGTTGTGATCCACACAATCAAAGGCTTTAACATAGTCAATGAAGCAGAAGTAGATGTTTTTCTGGAACTCCCTAGCTTTCTCCATGATCCCGTGTATGCTGACATTTTGATCTCTAGCTCCTCTGCCTCTTCGAAACCCTGCCTGTACTTCTGGTAGTTCTCGGTCCACATACTGCTGGAGCCCAGCTTGTCGGATTTTGAGCATAATTTGGCTAGCATGTGGAATGAGTGCAATGGTGCGGTAGTTTGAACATTCTTTGGCATTGCCCTTCTTTGGGATGGGAATGTAAACTGGCCTTTTCCAATTCTGTGCCCGCTGTTGAGTTATCCAAATTTGCTGGCATATTGAATGTAGCACTTTTACTGCATCGTCTTTTAGGATTTTGAATAGCTCAGCTGGAATACTGTCTCCTCACTAGCTTTGTTGTTGCTCAGACCTCCTAAGGCCCATCTGACTTCACCTTCCAGGATGTCTGGCTCGAGGTCAGTGACCACCCCATCGTGGTTCTCAGGGACGTTGAGCTCTTTCTTGCCACCTCTTCTTAATTTCATCTGCCTCTGTTAGGTCCCTGCCATTTTGGTCCTTTATCATGTCCATCTTTGCATGAAACATTCCCTTCATATCTCCAATTTACTTGAAAAGATCTCTGGTCCTCCCTATTCTATTGTTTCCTTCTATTTCTTTGCACTGTTCATTTAAGAAGGCCTTCTTATCTCTTCTAGCTATTCTCTGGAATTCTGCATTCAATTAGGTGTATCTTTCTCCTTCTCCCTTGCCTTTCACTTCCCTTCTTTCCTCAGGTATTTGTAAAGCTTCCTCAGACAGCCATTTTGCTTTCTTGCATTTCTTTTTCTTTGGGATGGTTTTAGTTGCTGCCTCTTGTACAATGTTGCGAACCTCTGTCCATAGTTCTTCAGGCACTCTGTCTGTCAGATCTAATTCCTTAAATCTATTTGTCACCTCTACTGTATATTCAGCAGGGATATGATTTAGGTCATACCTGAGTGGCCTAGTGCTTTCCCCTACTTTCTTCAATTTCAGCCTAAATTTTGCAAGAAGAAGCTCATGATCTGAGCCACTGTCAGCTCCTGGTGTTGTTTTTACTGACTGTATAGAGCTACTCCATCTTTGGCTGCAGAGCACATGGTCAGTCTGATTTCTGTGTTGACCATCATCTTCATTTGAGAGATAGTTCTTTGGCAAAGGACGAACCTTGGTATTTCCCTCTTGCAATGTGGGGCCCAGAACTGAGCACAATCCTCCAGTTGCGGGCGCACCAGAGTCATATAGAGTGGTAGTAACACCTCTCTTGATCTTGAAGCCACACTTCTGGCTATGCAACCAAGGGTGGCGTTCGCCCTCTTGGCCACCGCATCACACGGCTGACTCCTGTTTAGCCTGCAGTCAACCAGCACCCCGAGGTCCCTTTCACAAGTGCTGCTCTCCAGCCTCTTGTCCCCCAACCTGTACTTCTGACACCCATTCCTATGCCCCAAGTGCAAGACCTTGCACTTATCCACATTGAACGCCATCCTGTTGTCTCCTGCCCACTTCCATAGTCTGTCCAGATCCTTTTGGGTCCGGAGTACCTGCTCCTCAGTTGTGGCCACTGCCCCAGTTTTAGTATCGTCTGTGAACTTGATCAGCAGACTGTTCACCCCTTCTTCCATGTCACTGATGAACAGGATTGAACAGGATCAATCCCGGGACAGAGCCCTGGGGGACCCCGCTTGTCACTGGCCGCCATCCCGATGATTCCCCGCTAATGGTTACCTTCTGCTTTCGGTCAGTCAACCATGCCCTAATCCACCAGACAGTGCATTGGTCTATTCCAAAACTCCTCAGTTTCTCCACCAGGAGATCATGGGGCACTTTGTCAAAGGCCTTGCTGGAATCCAGGTAAACCACATCCACTGCATCCCCTCCATCCAGCCACCTCGAAACCTTGTTGAATTCCACAAGGTTTTTCTGGCAGGACCTGTTCTTGCGGAAGCCGTGTTGTGTGGCCGCCAGCCTCCCTTCCCTACCTAGCATCACTAGATCTCTCTCTGTTATGAGCCTTTCCATTGTTTTTCCTACAGTGGACGCAAGGCTAACCGGTCTGTAATTCCCCATGTCCCCTCTACTGCCCTTTTTGAAAATTGGGACCATTGATGCCACCCTCCAGTCCTCTGGAACTTCGTTCTCCACGAGGTCTCAAAAATGGAGGCCAGCGGGCGTGAGAGAACCCCTGCCAACTCTCTAAGTACTCTCGAGTGTAACTCATCAGGGCCTGGTGCCTTTGTAACGTGGAATGCCTTGAGGAGCCCCTCAACTTCTAGGGTGGTGACTCCAATCTGTGCCCCTAAGTCCCCAGCCTCATCTAATCTCCTATGCGGATCTCCCCCGTCCTGCTTTGGGGAGAACACAGAGGCAAAACAGTCATTTAGCATCTGTGCCTGTTCCCTCATATCAGTCACTGGATCTCCTTCCTCCTTATTTAGTGGTCCCACCACTTGCCTCCCCTTCCTCTTGCTATTTTCATGCTGATAGAGGCCCTTTTTGTTGCTTTTGATATTCTTGGCAAGTCTCAGCTTGTAATCAGCCTTCGCCTTGCGAAGAATGCTGCCTGGGGTCATTTTAAAAAGAGCTTTTCGGTTTTGCATTCTCGGGCATCCCTGACAAGACCATAGGTGGAAGCAGAAGGCTGGAACTGTAGATGGGCAAAAGGTTTTAATATTTTATCAGTACCTGCAATTGATGACTTTGTTGTTGTTGTTGTTAGTCGTGAAGTTGTGCCCGACCCATCACGACCCCATGGACAACACTCCTCCAGGCCTTCCTGTCCTCCACCATCGCCTGGAGTCTACCTGAGCTCACACACATCGCCCCAGGGACCCCATCCAGCCACCTCATCCTCTGCCGTCCCCTCCTTCTTTTGCCCTCAATCCTTCCCAGCATCAGGCTCTTCTCCAGGGAGTCCTTCCTTCTCAGGGGAAAGGGGGTGTGGCCATCCGGGCAATTCGGGGGCCGTAGGTGCACCCTTATGCTGGGCACCCCTGCGCTGGCTCCGCCGCAGTCGGCCAGGTGCCTTGCGGTGTGTGGGCGACTCGCCTCCGCCTCTCACACATCCCCTCTCGGTCCATCCTTCCTCCCCCAGGCCAGAAGCCGGCAGCCATCGTCTCCCCCGTGGCAGGGACCACCCGGGACGTGGTCGAGGCAGCGCTGAACATCGGCGGCTTCCCCGTGGTGCTGAGCGACACGGCGGGCCTGCGGGAGACGGACGACGTCGTCGAGATGGAGGGAGTGAGCCGGGCGCGGCAGAGGTGAAGGGGCGGGGGGCTCCCGGGACGGGTGGGGGGGTGGGCCCAGCAGAGCCCGGTCTGCTCCTCACATCCTGGCACGTGCTTCAAGGGCGTTGGCGCGTCCCATTTTGCTTGAGAGGCTTTTTTAGACCCCATCACCATTTAATTAAAAAGTGGCCACCATTTATGGGCTGCAGCCGGCAACACAGGCGCCCCGTCAGCAACCTGTGGCCGAGATTTGGGTTGTGTGTGTGTGTGGAGAGGCTACGGGGCACACGGAGGCCCATACCCTCGGTGCCTCTGCCCCTTTTTTCCAACGGCCCATCGCGCTGAATTGTGTTGCCTTTTGCTGGATACTAAAAAGGTGTTGATTATGACCTACAAAGCCCTAAACGGCTTGGGTCCTGGCTACCTGAACGAGTGCTTACGTCCGTATATGCCCGACCGCCCTTTGAGATCTGCGGGAGAGTCCCTTCTCCGGGAACCCTCCATGAAAGAAATTAGGAGAGTAAGTACCCGGAGGAGGGCTTTCTCTGCGGTGGCGCCCAACCTATGGAATTCACTCCCCAAAGAGGTCCGCCTAGCACCATCGTTACTGGTTTTTCGGCGCCAGGTAAAGACCTTTTTATT